CCATCATAGTAGATCTATTGCCATTTGAAGTAGCAGGGGACCAAGAATAAGGCAAAGGCATAAAAAATGGTGTAGAAACCAATGAGTAGGATATTCAAACTCATATGTAGTTCTGCATCCTCGTTCAGATGGATTAAATTGGAAAGTGAAACGTGGCAGTGCAGAGTAATGGACTTTTAGTTTTGGTCAAAATGCCATATTAGCAAAGTGCGAGATTGGTGATCTGCTTGATCAGGGTTTATCAACTCTCATGGTCAGTTGCTTCTGGGAAAGCGAGAAAGCACTTTAGTTACCCATAGATAACAATAAAAAAACACAACTGTCCAGTCCACAAGAATTTACAAATCTATCTTCCTCTAGACAAAATAATTGATAACACCCCCGTTATGACCCTGCTTTGTGCTTACGTGAGTACTTCAGCAGATTAGCAAAGGACAAACCACATGGCGTCAGAGGACGATTTTGCTGTCCTCCATCTTTCACCCCAACCTTCCTCCTCTTTTCTACCTCCATTCATCCTTCCCCATTTAACCCCCCTCCCCCCAGCTCCCTTTCGACTTCTTCCTTCTTGACCTTTCTTCTGTTTGTCTTTTTAAAAAATTCCTGTATCAGCCTCGTTTGCTTTTCTTTTAGCCTTTTTTCATTTCCTTTCCCTTCTTGTTTTTCTCATCTCAGTGTCACCCAAACCACCTTTTCCCCTGTATGCATCAGCCTCTCTAGAGTTAAAATGCTTGTTAAAAGCCATTGATTTCATTCCCTAAATAATGCCTGAATAAACTTAACCATTCACAGACCAGTAAACCAGCAGGCCATTAATATCTACGGATGACCTCTTCACATTAATGTGCTGGGACTTGCGTTATTGTGCAGTGATTTGTCTAGGGAATTTGATCATCTCAGTGCCGAGACAGCTTAAATTCGGTGTCGCCATGAAAGCCAAGCCCACAGGAAGATACTAACACAGTTTTTCTTGTGTGTGTGTGTGTGTGTCAGAGAGAGAGAGTGGGGGGTGGGGGGTGGCTTGTGAAAGCATAAAGTATTTTACTCTAAGAAGTATTTTTTTCTTAAAGCATCTTAAGGCAACTGTTGTAATTTGGTGGTATATAAGTGAAACTGTTTTGAATTGAATTATATCAGGTAAAGTATTGTTGTGTGGTCTGTACTTGAAAGTGCTTAGAGTGGTCAAGTTAGACTAGAAAAGGTTCATTACATTATAACTGTCCAATGCTAATCAAGCTCGCTAATAAGCATTAGCATTACCTGACAGCGCTCCAGGTCTGAACTGATTTAGGTGAAGCATAATCAGTCTGTAAAAGAATGTTTTTTGTAATGAATTTGTGTCACAAACTCAAAATATGTAACAGATTTCGAACAAGGCAGATTTATATGAAACACCACAGAAGTACTAACTGATGAAATTCTAATTGAACAACTTCAAACCAGAATTTTAGCGATGCAGTTATCTGTCTGGTTGGTCAGTGAAGAAATTAAATTGTTAAATCATTAAAAACGAATCAAATGTCAAGAACATTTCAGCTATTTCTGGATTTAAGCTGACACATACACACAAACACACACAAATTTCCTCTTTACATCTGATCACTCCATCAATTTATCAAGGTCTGACCCTCGCTATGGATCAGTCATTGGCTAGGCAAATGAACAAAAGGACAGATAAATGGACAGATTAATTAATGAATGACTGAAATGAGGAGAGGGGGGTTAATAGTCAAGTGCAGTGTTTAGCTATTACTACATATATATATATATATATATATATATGTATGTATAGAGGATCTATTTGGTAGGGTTGGTTGACTGACTTGATTGGAGTAGGTGAAATGTAAG